TTTATTGTAAAAATAGGTACCCGATACTAGTCGTGTGGCTGCTCTTCAAGTTTCTCATAAATTGAACATTGCTTATCGTGAAGGATTTATTAAAAATCGTTACGTAGGTCGAACTTTTATAATGCCAGGGCAACAAATGCGTCGAAAAAATGTAAGAAGAAAGTTAAATGCTATGGCATTAGAATTTACAGATAAAAATGTCCTTATAGTCGATGGTTAGTTAGTTAGTTTATTAATTTATTGCTCTTATTTGATGTAAAGAAAAAAATTAAAATGAGTATTTAACGAATCATCATTTATAGATTCTATTGTAAGAGGTACTACATCTAAAGAAATTGTACAAATGGCTCGTGATGCTGGTGCCAAGAAAGTTTATTTTGCATCATGTGCTCCACCTATTAGGTAGGCAATATTTTAATAAAAGTTTTATTTTTCTATTTAAAACTGATATATGAATATGTATGTATGTATGTATGTATGCTTAAGATATCCTAATGTTTATGGGATTGATATGCCATCACGTAAAGAGTTGGTAGCACATGATCGTGACAATGAAAAAATAGCTCAGGAAATTGGTGCGGATAAAGTAATATATCAGGTAATCAACTATAAAAATCATTTTTTTTTAAATATTAAATATTATCTTTCTATGTATATGTATATGTATTTCATTTATTATTATCCTGTTATTTGTTTATCATAAAAGGAATTAGATGATTTAATAGAATCTTGTAGAAAGTTCAATCAAAATATTTTAAATTTTGATTGCTCAGTCTTTAATGGTCATTATACAACTGGTGGCGTAACAGAAGAATATTTAGAACATTTAGAAAATGCTCGTGGTGATTCTACAAAAGATAATGTTTCAAATGGTATATATTATGAACAGGATACAATAATAGGTTTAGGCAGTTTAAATAAGTATATTACATAAATTCATACATGCATTTATTTTAGCAGTAAAAATATCTTCTTCATTAATTCTAATAATCATAATTTAAAAAAAAATTTTTTTTATTAATTTATTAATTCATAAGAATTTAAATCTTGTAAAAAAAAACATATTTACCTA